GGGCCCAATCTATGAGAATTGGATCAGAGGAGATCATTGGGAAATAGGATAGGATGAGAATTAGTTGTTTAAATTACTTGGGTTAGAATTAGAAATAGATTAAGATAATCGGATATAAAATTAGTTGGGTGAGCTATCTATTATTTTGACGGGATTTACAATTTTCTTGTAACAGGATATAAAGTTATCTTCTATAAATTTTAAATATGATATTATTTTAGGGTTTGAGAAAAAAAATATACTGAATATTTTAGTGAAATACATGATATAAACAGAAAATAAAATTATTAAAATACTCAGCATCTTTTTTGCTCAACCCCGTCGTTTTGAAATTTGTTGAAAATAATTTTGGGTCTCCTTGATTTGTGTTTTACAAAACAGTTTTAAAATTTTAAAAGTAAAAAAACATGTTTGATACTTAATAATTTGTTCTCTTGTAAGAGAAATATTTTTCTCTATTTTTTTTTAAAGATATTTCAATCAGTTACTTATTTCGTTATTAGTCTGATTTGGTACGAGTCTCGAAATTAAAATTTTAAACCTTTTTAGTTTTAATTTACTGTAGTTGTTTTTAATTTCGTCTCTTTAGCTTTAAGTCTTTACTTTGTATTTATTAGTAAAACCTGTTGTTTAATCTCAATTCTCTCCCATGAATTCTTATTCTTCATGTATTCTTCTCCTCCCCTATGATTCTTCTTTCTTCCCTCCTTCAAAGAACTTCATTGTTTTAGAATATGAGCAAGATGTAAATGAAGAAGTCCTACGTTAAAAAATAATATACAAAGTGAAAATTATATAAGTAAAAAATCTATAAGCGTAATGCATTAATTAATAGTTTAGTTTAAAAACTAGTAACAAACCTATTAACGTGTGGATCTTTACGTAGTACAGTGTTTATTGCAAGTCTCATCACCCCCTTAATCCAACACTGGATTGCTTTCCAATTGCATATATTAAAGGACATGTTTGCCTGTATATAGATTGTGTTGACTAATTCTCCAAAAACAAAAAAATTGTGTTGACTAAGATTCATATAGCAAAGCAATGCACCTAAATTTGAGCTACCCCAGGACTCATGGGTCATATTCTTGGGGCACCCTCTTATTAATACATTAATTTATATAGCTACTAGTGTAAAAAAATTAATTCAACTCAAAATCTTAGGTTATTGGGTGAGGGATTTTTAAAGATTTATATTATTTTCTAACACACTACCTCACACAAATGTTTTTTGGGCTTGAAACATGGATATTACACAGGTCCAATTTTGTTTTACCTTTATTTAATTTCCCGAAAGTGGGGGTGATGAGGATCAAACATGTGACCTTGTGGTCACTGAAGCTCTGATACCATATAAAGAATCACTTCAATTCAAAACCACTTCAATGTCCATAATAAGATCACGAGTTCGACTCTCACATACCCCACTTTCGAGTGAAATTGAAATAAGCAAAAGTAAAACCGAAAACATTGGGCTTATGCAATATTCGTACTTCAAGCCTAAAAATAACTAAAACCATTCAAGGGCCATATTCTCAGCTTCTTAAAAGGATTTTAAATTAATTTAAGTGGATATCAAATAAAAGAAAAAACATTATCAACCTAAATGCATATGAAAATTGATCTAAAGCATATATCTTGACAGTGCCAAAATGCATATTAAATCTATAAAAAAAGTCATAAAAAAATTACATCGAAAAAACTACAAAAAAAAAAAAATGAATTAAGAGAGATTTTTTGGGGTGTGGAATGTAGATTACAGATTTTAAATATATAAAGATGAGTACATTTCTCTACAAATAAAAAAATCTCGCACCCCAAACTCAAATGAGACTTGTTGCAGCATGTTACTGTTAGCAGCTTGCTACAGTCACATGGACACATTGCAGGAATTTAGTTATTTATGTCTTTCTAGTTTCAACAATAAATTCTGCCAATTACCTTAAAACCGTTTTGCTTCAAGTTGTGGTAAAGAGTAAAGACAACCACGTGGTCATTTAACTCTCTCAAGAACAAATTCCCTATCTAGTATCCGTAGATTATTTGAATAATATATCATATATTTTTTGTGTTATAGAAAATGTCTATACAAATAGGAAAAAATGTAGATGTCCTAGAAATTGAAGCAATAAAGCATACACATCCTGATTATTAGGTAGGGGTGGCATTCGTATTTACATAATATGATACAAATTCAATACGAACACGAATATGTTTAACATGAATATGATATGAGTTTGAAAACAAGTTAAAATCTTTTACACCAATATAACTGACTTATTTTGCATATTGACATGAAATGATATGAATAACTCACAATATCAAAATGTGTTGTTTATTATTCTAGTGGACACGACATAATACGATACAAATAACCTGTTAACTTTAAAATATATCACTTATTATACGGATCAACGTGACACAATAAGAGACAAATAAATTTTGCTTTCATCAATATCGTATTGATGCGACATAGTATACAAATAATATATAAAAAGATTAACGCAAATCAATTTTATGTTTGCAAGTTGACAAGCAACACAACACAAATTTTTTCGTGTTAAATTTTACTAACAGACACATAACATGAATTTGAAACGAATCGAATTAAACATAAGTTTTTCTTGTGGTGTTATTATCCCTAGTTCATGTTGAAAATTGGCATCCCTATTTTGGGGCTAACATGATACGAACAAAAAGCAGTACACAAAAAGAATATTATATTCTTTTCCCCATCTCAAATTTATACTTTAGATTTATTTAGAATTTATATTAAGATTTACTTATATATGAGTTTATATAAATCCAATAGAGCTCTATTCTATACTTTTCTAATACCTCTTTCTTTAATTTTGTTAAATATACATATTTTGTATATAATGAATGAGAATGAACCGATATATTAAAAATAAATTTAAATAATGTGTATTGTCGAGTAAAAAAATTATATTGTCATCAAATAAATTCTCACATTATTAATACTTTTAATAACAAAAGAGTTGTCAATGTTATTAAATGATGTGGTAATACATTATTAGATGATAACATAATTTTTTTTATAATGTATCAAAATTAAATTTATTAAAAATTATGGATATTTTTAATAGTGATGTACCTTTTTATGTTAGAGATAAAAAAAATAATATACATTATTGTGTATACTATAGGGTAATGCTCTGAGAAATATCTTTGTGTGACTTTACATAAAACGACATCTTCAACCGAATAGAAAAGAAAATTTTTGGCATAATTTATGAAAAACTCAATTACTACATTATTTTTGTTTTTGTGTTGATTTTTTTTGGGGTTGATTTTTATTGATCTTTTATTCATTTATTTTTTATTTCTCCATCGATTATTTGATTGTTAATTAATCCGATTTAGTCAGACAAAAACAAAAACAAAAACAAAAGACAAAGCATTATCTAATTTTTACAACTTTCTAAGAACTTAAACTCGAAAGCATTGATTAAACATAAACAACTTTCTACAAAGTATATACATGATCATTCTTACAAAGCATTATCTAAATTTTTTGCTCTTTTAATTGGTCGTTTAGAATTAAATGCCTGCAGGCCCTAATAAATACATTGAGAAATTTAAGAAGACACTAGCTGTATAATAGAACAACCGGATTCATAGATGGCCCATATCTCTAGATGCATGATTGCATTACCTCTCCACAACCTGCCTTTAGCCTTATTGGATCCCACAAGAATTTAATTCACTGCAAAAACTTTTCTTCATCTGTCACCATCCAATTTAACCAAATCATCCATCTTAGTATTTTTTTATACGCAGTGTTAAATACCCAGAAGTAAAATCAATACAAAGCTCATTGACTCTCTTGTTTTTTTCTTTCTTTCTTTCCTTATAGACCCTCTCTTTTCCATAATTTTGCAAAAAATTTCTTGGTTAAAATTAATCATTTTATGACAATATCATACAGATTCAATTTTTTTTATATTATGTTGATTTAAAATTAATTCAATCCAAAAGCTTAAAGTCTTAAGTGAAAGCCTACATGAAAGATGGATAATGCACAGGCTACTAAGAAATTTCACAAGAGAAAGTAAGGGGTGATGAGGATCGAACTCGTGATACCGAAGCTCTGATACTATGTTCATCAATAATTTTATATACTTCTCTAATAAGGTTGGTGAATCAAACTTGTGACTTTGTGATTGTTGGGCCGTGCAATTGACTTCTCATCAAACATTGGCTCTTTCATCAAGACTTGGTTGCACTCATCAAGACCTTGGCACTTATCAAGACTTTGGATTTCCTTATCAAGACATACTTAGATCACCACATGCCAATCCACCATTAGGTCTGATACCAATTGTTGGGCCGTGCAAGGGGAGTTTATGGCAGAGTGAGACCGTCAACAATGGGAGTGGGTTCGGAACACCACAATCAAACCCAAAACCTTAAGTTATTAGGTGCATGAGTCATTCCACTTATATGGTATTCATTTATTTCATTTTTAACCAATATGAGACTTTTTCACTCAATCATTCACATTTGGATTCCTCAACAGTGGTTACCTTGCTTCTAATATCATGATAACTTACAATCTCATCAAATAACTCAAATTGATAAGTGAAGCCCAATTAATTGTTGTTATATTTCTCTAAAAGTTACATTTTCAATCTCCAAAACTTTTATTGGTAATTTTTTTTTTTTTTTAATTTTCTTTTCCAAGATCTCTGGAAATGAAAAGCATTCGAACATTTCATGTTCCTTTTCACATAATGGGTCAATCATGCTTTGCAGGTGGCAAGCTACCATGCATTACAAATCCATAATTATTGGCTAAAACTGCCACCTAATTTTGTCAAAGAAGTGTCCCCTAAGCTTTGTTATTTATCATTCATTTATAGTAATATTAATTACTTTAAAAGAATACGAGACAACTTCTTCCCTCAATAGTATTAGTATCTGGCACACGCTCTCTGCAGTCTGCACTCAAATATCTCTTTATTGGAAGCACCAATTTGATGAGACCAAGTGGAATGGAAAAAACATATACATTATGGTTCTTCTTTATTGAAATCTTTGTACATGTTTCCATATCAAGAAGTGGCAAAGTTCCTGCAATAATAGTGTTTGGAGACTCCTCTGTGGACACAGGTAACAACAACTTCATTCCAACCATTGCAAAGAGCAACTTTGAACCATATGGTCGTGATTTTTTCAATGGTAATCCTACTGGTCGCTTCTCTAATGGACGCATTCCCCCTGACTTCATCTCTGAGGCCTTTGGCCTTAAGCCAACAGTTCCTGCTTACTTGGATCCATCTTATAGTATACAAGATTTTGCTACTGGTGTTTGCTTTGCATCTGCTGGAACAGGATTTGACAATGCTACTTCAAATGTTGCTGTAAGTGTTCAACTAGTCACTCTTGCAATACATTTTTATTTGAGTAATGTTGTTGTAATTGTCACAAATTCTAAGATAGACACATCTATACAATTAAACAGTTAAAATGAGACCAAGATGTTATCTAACTGCTTACAAATAGAGTATGTGCAAGTTACCTTTGATTTACTTTAGCCCATGTTAAATTGTAACAAAACTATTATCCTTAATCATTCTCTCATGCATAAAGTTTTGTGTATTACTAAATTAAATCAACAAAGGTAGAGAGTCAGGGACGGCCAGGGGTGATCGCCCCCTCAAGTTGATGTAAACCTTTGTCTTAGACTCTATTTAGACTTAAGTGAAAGGTAGTGTATCATAAGTTCTCCCCGTTAAGTTTTTGTTCTTATTATTTCTCATTTTGGAAGAAAACTTGGAGAATTATTCAAATCTTGCTACATATTTTTTTTTTTTTTAAATATTCCGATCGGTTTATCGCTTCACGACTAATGCGATTCGGGGCGAGTTCGGGATTAAGGCTTTAAACATTTCCCAAAGATGATACTGGGGAGGATCAAACAAATGCTCTCACCCCTACCTGCTCAGTTCTATGGCGCCAACTGAGCTATCATCGTTTGATAAATCTTGCTACATATTAATCTACTATTGTGTTACCATGCTTAAGTTAGTATGTATTTTGCTTTCGTCACTCTTGCGGTTAAGGATGGGAGCCTTAGCACTATAATTAGTGTTGTGCTCTTCAACTCTGACGTGTCCCGCACTTCGGATTAGTCTCATAGTTGGCTCAAAGAGTCAAAACTTGTGAAGATATCGGAGGGAGCCAACTCACCTCAAAGAAATAATTAGTGTTGTGTCACATTATTCGAAAGTTATATTTTCAATTTGTTTATTCAATTTCTTGCAAATGCAAAGTAAGAATGTCTATTATAGACCCTTATCTGAACCTGCTCAGAGAGTCTTATAGCACAAGCTTACCCTTTAAATTAAGCACATTGAGTTTGTATTTTGCAGGGTGTCATACCTCTATGGAAAGAAGTTGAGTACTATAAGGACTACCAAAAGAAAATGAGAGCCTATCTTGGTGAGGAGAAGGCTAATGAAATATTAAGGGAGGCTTTGTATTTAGTTAGCATAGGAACAAATGACTTCCTTGAGAACTATTACACACTCCCTCAACGTAGGTTTCAATTCAATACTGTTCAGCAATATGAAGATTTTCTCATTGGACTTGCTGAGAATTTCCTTAGGGAAATTTATGATCTTGGAGCAAGGAAAATTTCTCTGACAGGGTTGCCTCCAATGGGGTGTCTGCCATTGGAGAGGGCCATAAACATTTTGGACAACCATGATTGTGTGGAGGGATACAACAATGTGGCTTTGGAATTCAATGGAAAATTGGGATGTTTAGTGACAAAGCTGAATAAGGACCTCCCTGGGTTTCAATTGGTAGATGCAAATGCTTATAATATGCTACTACAAATCGTTGCACATCCTCCTCGTTTTGGTAAGTTTATATTTGACAATGCTTATTTGTTTATAGTTAGTTATATATGCTTTTTACTCAAGTAAATTCCTCTCCTTTTGGGTGAGAAATTCATTTATATACTTTTCTTTCTATCAATAACTTAGTAAGCGAAAGTAATTTATAATCCCAAGATTCTTGTGTATATTTGATATACAAAATTTGATGCATAAACCAATTAATAACAAAGACATTATTATTTTAAAATATTGAATATTTATGTGATACAAAGATATATATATATATATATATATATATATATATATATATATATATATATAATATATAATTATTTAATGTAAATTGGATTAATTTACACAGTTCTGTATGCAAGATATACGAGTCGTTAGGCGTAGGCATTGTGGTGGAGAATTGAAATTACTAATTTGCGGGGGATCATAAAATTTCTAGCTATCCCCACTATTGTAAATTTGTAACCCAAAAAAATGAAAAAGAAAATGAAAAATCATGGGTGGCTTGGATAACTCAAGCATATGACAATGTTGATTAAAGATGAAAACTGGTTTCCCACAATGTTTTAGGAAATATTAAGTTTATACTAACAAGAACTAGACATAGTGATTAAAAACAAAATTACGTAACAATTTTTACATGTACATAAAAATTAAGAATCGAGTCCTTTATGATGTAGTCAATTGCATTTTAGTGTAGGTTGTTGTTTGCTGCCGTTTAATGCAATAAATTTTAGTTTGGTACATGTCCTGCTTTTACCTTTTTAATTGTACTTGTCACTGTTCATAATAAAATAATCATGATAAAAATATTGTTCTTTTTTAATTTGCAAGATGTCTCTATTTCATTTAAAGTCGAGGAGCATCAACATTAACAAAATAATTACTCTTCACAACACGATTATTGTGGTTATTTAAAGGGTAAATTATTTTTCTTAAGAGAAAAGCAAGCCACATTAAAAAGAAAAATAAAATATATAATATATTTTGGAACAAAATTACCAATAAGTATTCCAAATTTGTATCCATCTGTATATTATGTTGATACTCATATATATAGCATGAGCTGAGGCAAATTCCAAATTGAGCTACCAATTAAATGGAGTTATTATTTAGCTCAAAGAATTGAATATGTTCAAAGTCTGAACACTCTATCATTCGTTTTTGAATTAACAGGTTTCGAGGTTGCAAGAGTTGGATGCTGTGGAACAGGTAGATTTGAGATGGGTTACATGTGCGACCCAAAAAGCCCATTTACATGCACAGATGCAAATAAATTTGTATTTTGGGATGCCTTTCACCCCTCAGAAAAAACAAGTCAGATAGTCTCAAATTATTTAATAGAAAAATATCTAGCAAAGTTTCGTTGATTTTAGTACAGGGGTAACATGCACTTCAAATTCTATTGTTCTGTTGTAAGATTTTATCAGGCAATGGGCAAAACCAATTTTATAAATGTAACCATGTGAAACATTTATGAATTACTGTAATATTTTCTTAGTATAATAAGTATAACTTTCTATGTTTAAGTGACATCATTATGATTTATGATATTATAAGTATAATCATAATTGCATATATAATTTTTTTTTCGTATCTCTGCATGATAGTGACTTTGAAACTTCGATTATCAAATCCAATTATTTCACCAATTCACTAATCGAAAAGTTTTCGAAGTAAACCATATGTAAAAGATGTCAGATAAACCAGTGTTGAACAACTGTTTTTAGTCAGTTATATATTTAAAAGTTAAACCATTAATTTTTTTCAATTATTTCTTTTATAAAAATCTTTTTACTTATTATAATCCACAAAACTAATAACGTGCACTATGTATAACATCTTTCATTGCAAATTTAGATATACACACATACTTAAATGTCAATAAAAAATTTCATTGTTGCATACCAAAAAAAAAAAAAATTCATTGTTATTAATATGTAGATAAAATTCTCTATTGAAACATATTGCCACTTATTACTGCTGAAAATTTTAATTTTTACTTGTATTGTGTTATAATTTATTTTAATTTTATAAATATTTAAATTTCTATAATTTATATTTATTTTATTTTATTTTTTGAATAGTAAAAATTTTGATGAAAAAAAAATTTGGCCGATGGATAAGCCCTAACCTAGCCCACTAAATCATAGGAAATTAAGGCTTAAAAAGACCCTACCATAAAAGACTTCAATAAGTTATTGCCAAATATAGGACTTTGTGGGTTGACTCGTGGGCTTAAACCTATTTTAACACCTCTAATTATTAGTTCAACTAGTGAGTCACTAATTAAACCGAATAGAGGTATGGAGGTCTGGTTAGTGATTCTGACACTTTCCCTTTAAAGACGGGTTGTTTGTGGTTTTGGGTAGTTATTTGTAAGGTTTGGCGGAGCTTGATAACATAGTATGGGAAATAAGGGAAGAGAAATCAATCTCCTTTTGGTTGGACTACTGGATAGGAAACCTTCTGCCTCTTATCGAACTTACCACATGTTCGATTCCTGCAGAGCATATCGATGACAGACTTGATAGATTTGTGAATGGCAATGGGAACTGGCAGTTGGACCTGTTTCGAGATATTCTCTTGTAGGAGGTTGTCCAATACATCCAAAGTATCCTACCTCCGAGAGAGGGTGATGGGGTGGATAGGAAATACTGGCTTTTGGAAGGTGAATCTCAGGTGTCGATTAAGGCTATGTACCAATCCTTTACAGCAGTTAGGGAAGCTATACCCAGGAGGTATGAGAGGAAAGTTTGGAATATGATCTGAAAGTGGAAGAGGCCACAAAGAATTAAATTGTTCATGTGGAAGGTGGCACATGATCGAATTTCGATGAAGGTAAGGACGACAGAATGGGCTGATGGTAGCTCAATGTGTCTTCTCTGCATATTGGAGAATGAAACATTGTTGCATGTTTTGCGTGATTGCTACTTTGTTCAGCAAGTTTGGAAAGACATTTAGCCTTCAGCTGGGGGTCTTATTTCTTCTCCACTTCTATGGAAGAAAGGTTGGACTCAAACATCAAATGCCAGTGACTAGTTGGTGTGAGATTTCGTGGTACTATACCTTTATGATTACATGCTAGTTGATCTAGGGTTGGAGGAATGAGCGGGCTTATAGCAACTTGCCATCAATGCATTACATCTCTGTGAAGATTGTTGGAGGAAAGGTAAGGGAGATTTCTGATGCTCTGCAGGGGGTAAATATGAGGGTCTTGAGGGGAAGAATCTTGAGCGAAGAGATCAGCTGGCTGCCACAGGAAGCTGGTGTGGTGAAACTTAATACAAATGGAGCTGCGAGGGGAAATCTGGGGACTGCGGCATATGGTGGATTGCTACGAGATTCCAATGGAAGATGTCTAGATGGGTTTTCCTATAGGGTAGGGAAGTGTACTACTCCATTAACAGAGCTATGGTGTGTCCTGAGAGGTTTGGAGTTTTCCTGGAATGCGAGATGGAGAAGACTAATTGTTGAATGCAATGCGGTAACAATTATTTCCTTACTCACCAAACCTGGTGATGATGTCTGTGTGTCGCACATAATGACTAGCATACGATAATGGTTGGATCGAGACTGGTAGATTCATCTGGTGCATGTCTTTCGAAAAGTGAACTATTGTGCGGACTGGCTGGCTAATTACCTTTTGGATCACTCAAAGTTGGATGGTGTTTGGCACTTCCAGCGATCGCCTGTGAAACTTGGCTTTCTTTTGCAGGCTGATGCAACAGGTGTCTCTAGTCCTAAGGCTTTTAACTCTGAAATGATTTGATCTCAAAATATTTCTTTCTGTTTTGTTGTTTTCTTTTCGTTCTTTTTCTTGGGGCTTATCCTCTTCTTGTTACCAAAAAAAATGAATAGAGGTATAACATTCACAATCGGAAGACCTTCCCACAGTCAGACAATTAAATAACCAATTAAATAACATTCACGTGAGACTCCTCACGAGCATCAACCATCTTCTCCACTTTATATTTTGTTGTAATCTTTCTTGTTTCATTTCAATATAAGTGTTTCTTCTTTCCTTTCCACTCATTATCTCTGAGCTGAATCTCGGGTCTATGAGACTTCAGTTTAGAATAATTATATTTAAAGTAACAGCCATGGGCTGAAGTATCTGTGGAACAAATAAGCTGCAAAACTCTTAAAGAATTATTTTCAAAACTCTTGTACTGAAGCTTTTTGTATTTTTGTGGCTAAGTAAGCTATTTTCATTGTGTATCAATTAAAATTGAACACATACTGAGAAAGGAACGTCCTTAAGGAAGGGATTTCAGACAGCTTAGCCAGTGGGAGAAGGTAGTGTTTTGGCAACGACAATATTGGTTACCTTAGGAATAAGGGGTCACTTCGTCCATTTTAAGGTTCTATACCACGTATCTGTTGGAGTCAAGGGAGCCATAGGAATATGGAAACTTGTGAGCCATCTAGTCCATGAGCTGAGGAATCAGAGTTGGCAGTTAAGAAACTGGGACAAAGCCAAAAAGTGCTAAGTCTTGAGCAGAGAAAATAACTATTTAAGAATGGAGCAGTAAATATGTTCCTCGTGTTAAAACTGTTTTAAAACCATCCACCTTGTTGTCTCTTGAGTATAGTTATTACTATGTTATTTTTTTTCATCTATTCAATCTTGTATCTATCAATCTCCAATGACTATTGTCGTGCCTTCTCTCATCAAGAAGGATCACATATATAACGACGCGAGGAGTTGTTTTCCATCAGACTGAACTTACTGTTCTTGAGGAACATTGTCAAGACAATAGGGAACGTTTGACCAGACAGTTCAATCATTAATTTTTCTTCTTATTTTCATTCTTTATAAAATAGTTTAAGGCATTATTTAGAGTTCTATCCTCGTGGGAACGATAATCTGGGCATTAATACACCCATTATTACTTGATGCGTGCATTTGCGCACTTGGGTTGGAAGTAAGGGAACAAATCTGTTTCTCTTGCTAATTTAGAATAGAGGAACGTCCTCCATCAGAATATATATATTTTTTCACCAACAGCAACCCACCTAAAAAGTTTTTGGCGCTGTTGCTGGGGATAGAAACACTAAATTTTGTTCCTATTACTGTTTTTAGTACATACTCAGTATAGTTCATTTTTGTTTCTTGTCATTGATTCTGCTATTCATATAACCTATGTTTTATGGTTTATGAGTGAAGAGTCTGAAGCAAATTCTGACCACTCCACTGAAATACTTGAGTTTCTCTTTGATCCTGAACCAGAACGTACCTTTCACAAAAGAAGAAGAAACCTCACGGAAGAAATTTTTGAAAATATGGCTGATCACAATAATAATGAGGATATTCCTCCTGAACAAAATTTTAGAACTTTGGTTGCTCCTTTCAGGAACAGACCAGAGAGAGGAGTAATCCTCCCTCGTGTAGCACCTAATTTTGAACTAAAACCCATCATGTTTCACATGATCTGGGAAGCTGGAGTCTTCAATGGACTCCCTGCAGAAGACCCTTACACACACCTCACAACATTTCAAGATATATGTGATAATTTTAGAGCTGAGGGTGTGACAGAGGAAAGTATGAGAATGAGGTTATTCCCTCACTCCTTGGGCTTAAAAGCAAAGACATGGATGAAAACTCTCACCCCTGGATCAATACACTCGTGGGAGGAACTCTCTAACAAGTTTATAGAGAGGTTTCTCCCTATGTCTCGCCAAGCTGATGTGAGAGCAGAGCTCTCTAACTTCAGGATGTTTTATGGAGAAAATCCTTATGAAGCTTGGGAGAGATACAAGGACATCATCAGAAAATGTCCAAACCATGGGGTAGAGAGTTAGGGAGTGTTACAATCTTTTTATAAAGGACTTGACCATACTTCTCAATCACATTTAGATTTTGCTGCAGGAGGATATTTTTTTACAAGAACTCTTGAATCCAGGTATGAAATCATAAAAAGCATTGCAGAAAGATGTCTCCAGTGGCCAATAGACAGGGTGAGCCCAGTAAGGAGGCCTGGCATGCTAGAACTAGACAAACAAACTGCCATGGAAGCCCAGCTTGCCTCACTCATGAATGAGGTGAAGAACCTGAAGGCTGATCAAGAAACACCAAGGATGGAAGTCCTGCAACTCACAGCAGCTAAAACTGAACCATGCTCAGCCTGTGGTGACCTTCATGATTCAACAGACTATCCATCTACTGCATTGGTGTGTTATGCAGAAAACTTTGGAAACAGAAACTTCACCAGAGACAATCAGCAAGCAAGACGCAACACCAATTCAAATCCTGGAGGAACTGTAACGAAAGATCAGAACCATAATCCCCAATGGAGGCCACCCATGAACCAAAGACCATTCAACACTCAGCAGCAGCAATATCAACAAGGCAGCAGCAACGGAACGT